GGCTCCGTCTCAAAAAAAAAAAAAAAAAAAAAAATTTATGGAGGTAGTCATTGTAGGGAGGTGGTCAGCCCTGGAGAGTCTGTTGTATTTGTTGGATAGATTATTTGGAATGACCGAAGATGCCATCCGTACAGGTGGTCAGAAATACGAGGTTTTACTGACATGATGAACTGCATAGTACCTTTTATTTTAACTTTTTCTTGAAATACAACATACATGGAGTAACATATATACAGCTTGGTGAATTTTCATAGAGTAAATTTTCCAGCAGCCTACAGATCAAGAAACAATACCGTTGGCATTCTGGACCTCCCATGCTGCGCCCTAGTCACTGTTATGTGGGTGTGGTCTGTGGAGGTCTGTGTGTGAGGCTCCTCCACCTTGTTGCCAGTGGCTCCTCTCCTCTCTTCTGTGTGGTATTCTGTTGTATAAATAAGCCAAACATATCCATCATACTTGGATATATTTGATTTTTTTCCAGTTTGAAGCTATCACATACTGCTAGGATTATTTTTAATGTTTATATTAGAATCACTCCTTCAGTTAACAATATTTACATACCCAGAATTTTGCAGTCAGAGTTGCTAACATTTTTTCCTAATCAGTGTAGGTTAAGAAGTTATTTAACTCCTAGGCCGGGCGCAGTGGCTCACACCTGTAATCCTAGCATTCTGGGAGGTTGAGGTGGGTGGATTGCCCGAGCTCACAGGTTCAAGACCAGCCTGAGCCAGAGCAAAACCCCATCTCTAAAAAGAGCCAGGCACTGTGCAGATGCCTATAGTCCCAGCTACTTGGAAGGCTAAAGCAAGAGGATTACTTGAGCCCAAGAGTTTGAGGTTGCTGTGAGTTGTGATATGGCACTCTACCAAGGGCAACAAAGTGAGACTGTCTCCAAAAAAAAAAAGTTATTTAACTCCTAAATAATCTAAAAGTAGCAAAACAAATATTGAGCATTGATTTTTTTATTTTTGAGACAGAGCCTCAAGCTGTTGCCCTGGGTAGAGTGCTGTAGCATCACAGCTCACAGCAACCTCCAACTCCTGGACTTAAGCAGTTCTCTTGTCTTAGCCGCCCAAGTAGCTGGGACTACAGGCACTGAGCCTGAACATTGATTATTTACACTGATACTGTTACAAGTTATATTCCTTTTTGCTTAATCCTTACAGCAATCCTGTGAGGCAGGTACTAACATTATCCTCATTTTTCAAATGAAAAAACTGAAGCACAGAAAGGTGCTCAATTTACCTGAGACGTACACTCCTTAGGAGGTGAAGCCAGCACTGTAACCCCAGGCAGCCTGAACCCAGAACCACTCTTAACCTCTATATCAGACTCCTTCCTCCCCTCCTTTTTTTTTTTAAAGAGATAGGGTCTCACTCTGTGACCCAGGCTGTAGTGCAGTGGCATTGTCATAGTTCACAGCACCCTCAAACTCCTGGGCTCAAGTGATCCTTCTGACTCGGCCTCCCAAGTAACTGGGACCAAAGACACACGCCTCCACACCTAGCTAATTTTCAATTTCTTATGAAGATAAGGTATCACTGTGTTGCCGAGGCTGGCTCTCTTATTTTAAAAAGTTAGCTATTTCTTACATTTTAATTTTTATTGAATAATTTTATTAATATCTAAAGAATATCCCTAATGTGGGTTTGCCCCTTAAAATTTAACCCACACTCCAGATTCATCAACTGAACATCTTGCCACACGAACTTGATTTCTCTTCGTGCACACGTGCGTGCAAGCACACACACACACACACACACGTGTTTCCTTCTGCCAAACAACCCAGACCTAGGCCAGCAACATCAGATGTCACCCCTAGATAATGTAGTACACATCTCAAGAAAATTGGGTAGTACCTGTAGCTCAGTGAGTAGGGTGCGGGCCACATACACTGAGTCTGGCGAGTTTATACCCGGCCCAAGTCAGCTAAAACAACAGTGACAACTGCAACCAAAAAATAGCTGGGCATTGTGGTGGGCACCTGTAGTCCCAGCTACTTGGGAGGCTGAGGCAGGAGAATCACTTGAGCCCAAGAGTTTGAGGTTGCTGTGAGCTATGATGTCACAGCACCCTACTGAGGGCAACATAGTGAGACTATGTTTCAAAAAAGAAAAAAGAACAAAGACATCCTCCTTCATAGCCACCACACCATTTCCATACTCAAGAAAATCAACATTTAATTAATTGAGTAGTGTTGCCCTGCATGTTCAAGTTTCCCTAGTTGTCTCCCAAATGGCCCAGTTGTGGATCCTGGCCTGGTTCACGTGTTGCATTGGTTGCTACATCTTTTTTAGTTGGTATCCATCAAAGTAGAACTAGCCTTTGCATTTATGTTCTTCACAGTATTAACTCCTTTGAGGAGTCAAAGCCAGATGTTGAGCATTCTGCATTCATCTGATTATTTCCTCATGATCAGAGTCAAGTCAGAAATTTCTGGCAAAAATGCCTCATAGATAACCATGTGATAGTTGTTAAGTAACAATAGACTACTTAAGTAGAGAACTGGGAAATTTTCTTTTGTCAGAATAGAATTTTTTTGAAATCTAGATTCCAGATTCCTTATAATTAATTTCTTAATTGTAAAGGTAATGTGCACATGTTAAATAGTTCATAGTTCTCTATCTTTAAGCTTCAGTTTAGGGATAGTAAATGGACCTAAAAATACTAATTTCAGTGTATATAAATTATATATCATTAGCACATCAATAAAATATTACACAGAATATTCTTATTATTCTTAAGACTAACCTTTTGGTTTTGTTTTTATTCCCTCAATGCTATACAAAGCACAAATCAAAGTCATTCTGTGAAAAACTACTTTCCTGGGTGAAAAGTAGTTGCTTTGCAGCAGTTATAGTTCTTTCAAGCAGTCATTCATATCACCGTAATGATCTACAGCTTCGTAGGTATGTTCTTGTCTTTGAAAAGTTATTTTTGTTATGGTTTATACTATGATAATTTCTCTATTGAAAAGTAAAAAAAATATTGAAAGCCATGTATAGCCTTACCTCTCCTCACTGGAACTTAGAGGAAGATGAAAATCAGGAAACGGGAGGAAATACAGTTATGGAGCTCCTTTTAGCTCCTATGAGGTTGGAACACAAGGAAGGTTTTTGTTTAAAGAAAGATAATTTAGGCTCGGCACCTCTGGCTCAAGAGG